TCTTGCAAACGTTTTGTTACCTGGCTAGGTAACATCTTCAGTGGTTAGCTTACATTTGCAGGAAAACAACCAAGCTCAGAGAACTCCAAGGACTCCACAGTTCAACCCTGAGCTACAGATATTCACATTTGTTTGTTGAAATGAATGTACTTTGTTAGATGTTCATTGGTTTTATAATTAATTATATTGCAATGGGATTAAATTATAAGAGTGAAGCTGGTACCGCTGAAATACCAACTTTACACTACATGCCCTATGGGTAAGATGTTTTTGGTATATTTATTTTTGTGGGAACTTATTTTCAGGTTATTAAACGTAACTAAATATTCAATATGAATGTTCAAAACAATCTGCATCAGAGTAGATTTTAACATGTAGTCAAATGTTCTTCAGTAAAAGTAACAGTATTCTTAGCTTTACAGAATGAATTGGAACAAGTTTAGTTATGAGTTAAGAAAATACAGTTCTCTTTGTATGTTAAAAGTGATAGATTTCCTAACAGTGTTAGAACTACATAAGTAATATAAGCTTTAGCAAAGAAAATACAGATCAAAAATTACATTAAGATAGCAACTTTGGGGTGAAATTATGTGCTTGTTTTTCACTAAGGAAACAAATTGCATTATTCAATATATGTCAGCTGGATGAAGTGCGCCAGACACTTTTGAAACAGGCAAGAGTCAGTCCAGTCTACAAATTCACATGAGATCAGATCTCGATATGGATCTGTTTTCATACACTAATTACTGTATAAGAAGTTGATCCTTGTAGATATTCTTTTCCGTGTACAATTCAAGTGCTACTTCTGAAATCAAGCCCAAAGGTTTTCAGCAGATTTGCTAAGTTCCAAGCAAATATCTGAGCTGGCATTCAAATCTCAGTATTTATTCTGCAACATTCTTAACATATCCTCTAACGGTATTTCAACTGAATTCATAAGTAACTCAGAAGTCTGGTTTTTGTTACACTAACCTACATCAAAATCAGGCTATTTTCCCTAATCCCTACCCCACCCCAGTTGCAGACTGATTTGAATAAAAGTGCATACTAGAATTGTTGAATATCACCTCAAAGTTGGTATTCTTTTTTGTAAATCTCTTTGACTGTTCATTTTTAAAAACTGACTTCCTAGCATTACTTTGATTGTAGCATTATGAAGTATCATTTGAAGAATACGGTCTTTCAATATATGATCCTTGTATTCCTTGTTGACGATAACCAGGGTTGTCCATGGGAGGAGTCAAAAAAGTCAAGATTGCAGCTATGACAGCTGGTCAAAGCCTTATCCAATCTTTACATGGATCTGTTATCTTGACTTTTTTGACCTCCTGATGGCAACATTTTTTTCTTTGCATGTTTTTATATGGGAGTATTGCACAATATATTGTTTTGCTAAGCTTAGGTGTTTAATGCTAGAATTCTTGTTCGCTGGTCATGCTGCCTGTGAAGTCTCCGCATGGAAGTTAATACAACTGGAGGTTGTCAAGTTGGCGAAGATGGGTTTACAGCAACAGACATAGAAGGTTTACAACACATCTATTGGGGAAGGTGGATTTACAACACATCCATAGAGGGTTATGTTCATGTGGCAGCTTTCTTGCAAATGTCATACATGACATAGCTTTTCAGAAGAATCATTGTTTTTGTCCATGTCTTAAAAATTATTCCTTCTGTGTGGCAGCTGTTAAGTTAATAAACTTTATTTGTTAGTTCAAAAAAAAAAAGTGCTCCAGAATATAATTTCCATGGAATTTGAACATGCAGTCATATGCCTTCCACCTTTCTGTGATTGCCGATAGTACCCTATTATACAAGATTTTTAGAGAGTTCTGCTTGCTGGCGCATCTGCAGGGATTAGGGTGTCAAGAAAAAGTCAAGAGGATGGCTTTATTTGCGTAAACGTGGCCACTGTCTTGCCTTTTTTAATCCTCCTCCTACCAGCTATAAAAGCCAGCTGCCAGTTTCCCATTGCAAGTAAGGACAGGGAGGTTCAACCCAAGACAACACATGGTATCTGCCTTTTGGACAGTCTTCTTCAAACCAGAGCAATCTGGAGCTGTTGGGCTGCCTCTGATGTTCCCAGCGATCAAAGCTGTAGTCTCAGCAGATCTGGAATGTGCAGGTTGGGTGTGGCTCCCAAAGAGCGTAGTTGTTCTTCTAACACCGTTGTAGCCTCACAGCAGCTCTCACACTTAAACTACTCGCAGGAACGCGAAACCATACATGGCAGACTCCCTTGGGAAGAGTTTGCCTTATCCATCCGGGCAAACGTTAATTCAGGCTAGAACCTCATAATCCTCTTCCCAGAACAGAACATTTATCAGAGGGGAGATAACAAGCGCGGGAAGAAAATTGTGTTGTTATTGTTTGGAGAAGACAATAAATCTTAATTCCCACCAGACCAACCTTCCTATTGTAATTCAAAGCAGGTGACTGCAGCTAGCTGACCTTGGTTGATCTTAAAGGCTGAGAGGGTTAGACTTGGCTGGTGCTTGTATGGGAAACCACCAGGAGGTCCAAAGCTGGAAGGCTAGATCAGCAAGTTGGAAAAAAAAAACAATCGCAGGGAAGGCAGTTGCCAACCATTTAATTATTCAACAGCATCTGGGAGAGGATCAAAATCAGCAAGATGGCAGAAGAGGGCCATGATGCAACTCTGTGTGTGCACTGGGATGGTATATATGTTCAAAGGGGTAAAGCTTACATCATGACGCTCTGTCTTGTCAATTCTGAAGGCCGCTCTCAATATTGTTGCCAAGAAAACTACATGGATGTCTTCATGTAGTCAGTAGACTTGAACTCAACCTGAGGGATGACATACACACACCCTGCAGAAACTGATGACAGCAGCCCCAGAGTGCCAATTGTTGGGGGGGGGGGCACTGTGTACAGATGGTGGAAATGCAGGACTTTTGTCACTCCAAGAAGAGCCTTTCCTTGAACCCAGGAGTTTGCCACAATAGGCTTTTGATTACTATCTTTAGGGGGGCACCCTCCCCACAATGGTGGTTGAGGCCAGGAGGTATCTAGATTTGACATAACTGAAGTTGAATTAACTGATCAAACTATTATGATTACTTCCAATGGATGTCATCATTTTTCTACTCAGTCATGTTAAAAATGACAATTTCAGGTAACTTTTGGAGAGGTGTTGGGGGCTGCCCTCAATCCTCTGGGGCCTCAGTTGTGCATCCTGCTTCACCCAGTAGTGCAGGAGGAAGAGGAGGCAGCAGTGTCTTTGGCAACGGCCTGCTTTATCAGGCTGGGTGGATCAAACCAGAACAGCCTGACAGCCATTGTCTCATCGCTTTGTGTCTTCTGTGGGGACTGAGGAGAAATCTCCCCACCCCTTCAGCCCCCCTTGCCTAGCAGATCTATGAGGCTGCAAAGGTTTGGCAGACATTGCTGCTATTCTTGCAGGGCAGGGCCAGCTCCCATTTAAGCATGAGATTAAAAAAAAAAAAATCAGTGAGGCCTGTGAGGAGATCTCAGGAGCTCTTATCCCCATTAGGTCCATGGCCACTGAACTGGCCCCATTGGCTCTCCAACAGAAGTTCTCACCTTCTGGGTCCAAGGAGAAAGGTTTTGCCACACCTATTCCTTGTGAAATGGCTCCAGTTTCCTCCTGATACCCCCTCCCTTGGCACTTTCGTTAGTTCCAGACAAGTGGGTAACAAAGTAAGAGATCCAAAATCAAGGGAGATGAGTCATATCTGGCACATCCTGACCGCTGAGCATTTCCTGGCTGTGCTGCCATCGAAACAGCGCAGCCAGGAAATGCTCAGTTTCAACGCTTGCAGTTGGAGTCCAAAAGCCAGAAGAAGAAGGCAGCTTGGTGACAGAGCAAGAGCTGAAGGGCCTCCCGGGCCAGACGTCTTCCAGGGAGACCCTTGGAAGCCCAGTCCTGGCTATGCCATCCCCCAGTGTCCAGCTTCCCGCCCCGGTACTTTCTCTTTCTCCCTCCCTCACCCAACACAGCCTCATTCAGTCTCTTGCCCATCGGGACACAGCATGTGTCAAAAAGGGATGGGGCTTTGGTCACATGGAGCAGCAGCCATATTGACTTTTTGACCCCCTCCCCACAAACACCTGGCAGGGATAGAAGGGAAGACCTTCAGGACAGAAGGTTCCACATGAATGACCAATCATATCAAGCAGTGCTTTGTGGCTGGTCATCTTCCCCTTGGCAGCTGTTTTTCGAAGGGATGGGTTGCTGGGTTGCCATTTTGTCAGAGCACCTAGAACCTGTTCTCGCAATCCCCTCAACTCAAGCTGGGGATCCCTGTCTGGGTAAGAAGCCTGGGGTGCCAGCTCCAGCACAGGTGGAGATGCCCAGTTGGGCAAGCCCTGTATTTATGTGTTGACTAATCAACACTATTACCTATCTATCATCTATCTCTATCTCTCTAACATCTATCACTATCATCTATCTATCTATCTATCTATCTATCTATCTATCTATCTATCTATCTATCTATCTATCTATCTATCTATCT